ATTGTAAGACCCAGTCATTGAAGACGCATTCACTTGTAATAGTTATACGCATTTGTTATTTTTATATTAGTCACTGAAGACGGTAAATACTTTTATTTTTACGACAAACTAATCTAAGATTAAAATGAATCCAAAAGGAAAACTATTATACAAAACTAAGACTATGTAAACTATTTGAAATATGTAATGACTTTCTTAAAAACATTAAAATTTAAAACATTGCTATAAAAAACATTGCTACACAACGAAGTAGCAAAACACGGCTTTTATTTTTATCTCACATATATGTGCATACTTAAAAACAAATATGTATGCATGTATGAAGCTAATGCAAGAATAACAACAACACACTTGTCTCTCACATATTGTTTGTCTCAAGTTTTGTGCTCTCAATTTCGCCCATTCCTTTTGCTTTATCATATTGATCGGCGTCAACTCATGTATACATGCAGAAAAGAGCACGAAGTCGTTTTGCGAGTGTGCGTATGAGCATGTCCGAAAATATTAGTGAAAGGCAACAAACCTTATTTAAGAGTGCCGATCACACTCTAAGTGATGTTAACGCACAAATGATTCGGGTACACTTATTGTTTGGGTGTACCCTTGCCGTTCTCTGGTCACCAACAGACACTACAAACCCAGGGGTGCGCCATTTGGAACGCTGCTTCAACAATGTAATTTATTCCTCCTTCCAACGCGACCACAACACTTGCTGCAAGATGAAGACTCTCTGCCACACACAAGACGGCCACCATTTAGGAAATGAGCCGGAGTTAGCACATCTAGGTCAGCGGGATTTTCTGAAATCGATACCTATGTCAATTAACGAATCAAGGATCGACGATCGACGATCGTCGTTACAAATAAACAGTTTGAGCGCGCCCAGGAACGAAGCTATGGAAAGGTCCTTGACTAGCTCCAAATGGACTGAAGCAGATGAATACTCTCACGTAACATTTGATGGGGCCCTTATACCAAGACTCTGCCTTATAGAAAAACGGTCCGCAACAAGCCACATATGTTAAATCAAATTCTGAAAAATCGAAAACAGCGTACGCACTTTTTTTGACATCCCTGAAACCGTTTTTCTTCCCCCAATAGGCCAGTATTAGGAACGGATCTTCCCAATTAGCGCCCGAGGTCCAGAGTATAGTTTTTTCTCATGAAAGTGAGTCATTATGGCCGAAGTGACGGGATGGCCTCTTGGAACAATAATCGGATGGCGTCCATCATAATCCAACGCAGAGTTCCGCAGTCGTCCATCAACACGAAGCAAACCAAGCATCCGAGGCAAGCAGGGTTGAGGGTGAAACCGATTTGCGTAATTTTTACAAGCTTATCTCTTCCTTAAGCTAAGTACGCTGGACGACGCGCAACAGCAAATGAGTTTCTCCCTGGAGATCCTGGACAGAAATTCCTTCATGTCGGATGTGGTGGCAGAATTTGTAATCGTAGACGAACACTCTCTGTAAGGCGGGAAATGAGTTTTTAAACTAGCCAATAAGCCGAAGCTAATAAGATTCTGGCGCGAAGTGCAATGATTCCCTTTTCGGCCACAATAGTGAGAGGCTAATCATCCTTGAAGGCACGAAGAAATGGAGGCCCATGGGACCAAAGCTGGGAACCCATTAGCTCAGTAGGAAGAGTACCATTGCACAGTAGATCGGCTGCACAGTGGTCCAGCCCGTAGGCCAAAAATAAAAAAACCAAAGTCCAAATTTTGACTTTAAATGTACCAATTCTTATTTATAATTGGTCTAGCTATTTGAATTTATTCATCTTTTTGTTTTAATCTGTCTGTCCGCTTCAAGAATAGCATTGAAAGTGATAGCATGATATTCATTGTGTATTGCAGCGTAAGCAACGTGCAAGTGAAGCTTTTGGCAAAAAATGTATTAAACATTTTTAAAACAAGTGTTTGTGCCATGGAAGTTATTAATATTTTAAAGAAAGGTATTAATTTTCTTTTTACAATAAAAAGTATATGTAGTATTTGTTGTGTTTTGTGTAAATCATTGTTGTATTTAGTACATAATTGTGAACGATCTTAGTTTGTCTTTTCTGTGTTTGGTTAGAGTTTTAATTGTGGTGGCACTCTTTGGCATTCATATATCTTGTTGTATAACATTCTTAAGCATTTTAAGAACATAAGAAAGTTTAGTTCAAGTGCCGTAAGGTGCCGTGCGGCTTGCAAAATACAAAAAGGTAACCTAACCTCAATTTGAAAAAACCGGATATATATCGCAAGAATCAGATATAGTTCGCCGATTCTTATGACATATCATAATATAACCAATCTATTACAATACAAAATCTAAAAAAAAGTCCCAAACTTCTATCTTCAAGAACACCGAAGTTGGTATTTCTACCAAAACAATTTCCGATCATTCAGTTATATCACAACTATAAGATATAGTCGTCCGATCCTTATGAAATTTGGTAGGTCGTATTATTTTGTCAAATATAGCACTCGTACAAAAACTGAACTCTCTAACTGTAAAAACACCAAAGTTATAGCATTTTCGATCAATCAGTTATATGGCAGCTATATGATATAGTTGCCGGATCTGGCTGATTTAAACAAATTATTTTAGAATGAAAATATAAATATTTTGTGCCAAGTTTCCAGTCCCTATCTCAACTAGAAGTATTTTTGGCCGCTCTCTTCATACAAGCCGGACCACTGTGGGCTGGGTTGAATACCCATTTTATTTCCTTGGTGAGCAGGTTCGCTTTGAATCCAGGATAGTGCAACCAAGGACTTTCACCATCAATAATAATCTCCGTTATAGGTCCCAAGTTCAGCAACTTCGGCTTTCAGCCTTGCTAGTAACTCAGCCCCAGATAGCTCCAATTTCGGTACAGTCGAAGTTATTATGCGTGCCACTCGACTCTTTCAGCATAACAGTCGATTGTCGGACCCTGAAATGACATAAACGCAAGCTCATACGCATGCAAGCTGCCGTCACAGAATCCGTGGACATCCAGCTTTCCTTGGAAAAGAATGACTAATAGAGGAAACTTCATTGCTGAGCTTGACTAAAACAAAAAAAGAATTGCAGCCACTCGGAGAAAGGGGATTGGGGAAGGCTTTCATCCCAAGACAAAGTTTCCCTGCACAGCTTCTGCAATAAAAACGCGTCTTCTGTCAAGAGGTAGAGCGTCTACTAGTTGGATTTACCCAATTGAGAGCAGATCAAAAAACAGGATGGCTCCAATCAGCTAATCCAAACGCTGCGCTTTGTGGAAGTTCGAATCTGCCAGAACCACCTCAGTTGGCAGGAACCTTTCAGTTGGAGACATATATGTTCAGGCCAGGTTGACGCTCTGCGATGTGAGACGCTACAAAAATGAAGCTTAAGGCGGCTGGCCAGCAGTGATGTGATGAAATAAACTTGTAAGCCGGAATCAAGTAGCGCTCGGCAGGGAAAAAGGCTTCTGAGCGGCCACGGACGAGAACGTTGGCCGAACGTTGTTGATCCTGGGTCACCAACGCGTAAGCTGGCGGAGTCTAAGAGGTCCGAGCCTCATAGGCAGGATCCAAGGCGGATGAAGCGCTGGGTAACTCGCAAGGATGCAAAAGGGCGTGATGTAGGCGATAACATGTTGGGCAGCGGTAGGATAAGCAAACGAAGCAGAGGGCTTCGTTGGGCACCGGACTTCATCGTATCGTTCCTCAACTGGTAAGGCGACGCACCTTGAGAGAGCCCCCTTGCATATATGTAATCTCCAGCTCTCTTACAGTCTCCAAGGCTTATTCCCGTAGACATGAAATGAGCTATCTGAGTATTTCTTTTTAGGTCAAGTGAGAATGGCTATCAATCGTCGTCCTAAACAGGGTGCAAAAATCAGATCACTCGCAATGAAGGAGCAGGCCTTTATGGAGTGGGTGAAATACCGTCACCCCTGGTACCATCCAAAATCGTAGAGTGGGCAGCAACTCTCATGGAGCGCTTGGCAACTTCTACCTAGATGTGCAGGTCCGTGGCCAGCTGGGAGAATTTCCTATTTAAACCATTTTCAATTTTGCTATAATTAGCTCCTCCAATTCCTCCTGAAGTGTGGTGAAATAATCACGCAGACGCTTCTCGATCAAATCGAGGGTCATAATAGTTAAGTCTTCGGTCAGTGTCGCAGTCTTGACCTTCTCATGCAGGATCTCCAGTTCTTGACAGATCACCTCTGCCTGTCTCAGCAGCACCCTCTCCCTGAAGCATCAGAGCTGTAGCTCCATTATGTAATTTAAGTGCAAGGTTATGACGACTAAAAAAAAAACAAGTTTCCGTGGCACTTTTAAACTAACATCAATAACCAAAATGGGGTGCACTCACGTCGGGGTCACCAAAAGGTTACGCAATGATTAGTTTTTGATTTCGGCCAAATGAATAAAATCGTTGCAGTTCAATGTTTAATAAATATTAGGCGTTCAAATTAAAACTAAAATTTGCAGCGGCTCAAATCAAATTAAGTAAGCGTAGCTTGAAAAGACAAGCTCCAAGCTATGCAGTTGAATATTGTAAAGTGGGAAAGAGGCGAGGCGGGGGAGACACAGACAAATACGGACAATTCAAAATTTGTTGAAAACCGCCTCATTTCAGAGTCCCAATTTTTAAGAGTCACTTCGGATTGAAAACCAAAACAATATTTTGGTAAACAGAATCCCGACTCAAATCTTTCTTACTCCTCTTAAGTGGAATAAAACTAAACAGCTCAAACCATTCTTAAATGGGTCCCCACTTCATTGGAAATTTCACATATTTCTTGTCATATCGATTAATTGAGACTCAAAGCCTTCTACGGCAACCTTAAGCCTTAAGTAATAGGTTCCGACTCAATCGAGTCCCTGCAGAGAACACAGCCTCTGAGAGAGAAAAGTTTCTTCAAGATATGTAAGATATGGAATTATATACTATAGTATACTATACTATATTTCGTTGAAAAATTAATTATAAAAATTATAAGTGTAACATCGATATATTTTATAAGCTAAATATACTTACCAGAGATGCATAAGGATCATTAAGTCGATATTCGAGTGTAAGATTTTGCAAGGTTTTAAAAAGTGCGGCATGATCAAATTTACAAGGATCAGCGCTTATAAAATCCTCCATTCCATGCTTTCTGGCTTTGTCTGCGTCTGGATAAAACATTTTTTTAAGTTTATTATTAGAAACACAAGTAAATGGCGAGTATTTAATTTCGAAATCCTTCTGGGCAAGATTTTATAAAATAGCTTTCAATGAAATCCATTCACAAATTATTATTCATCCTTTTTTTTTGCTACCAAAGTAACAAGGTGAAGGGGGGCCTTAAACCTTGTTAGCCTTAAAACCTGCTGTTTTTTTCTAAGATTTTTTTTGTTGGAAAGTATGATAGGTATAAGAATGAAGCCAGTTGTAGAGTACAGCTTGTCGTAGTTACACCATTTTTTTTGGAGGTGATCTTTGTAAAGGGGGGAGGGGGGTGATAACCAACAATGGCGGGATGTCCGCGGCAACTCGTCATCATGGTGAAAGTCGTAGATTACGTGATCAAAATTTGAAATGCAAAATACGAATATATCCCTATTTCGGACGAATATGTCCTTATTCTTTACTTTTTCACACCCTTTACACTATTTTTTTAACAAAATAAAACAAAAAACTTAGAAAAATTATAAAATGATGAGCTTTTAACAAAAATATAATTTTTCCTTATTTTTACGTTACTTATCATTTATTTAAATAAATTTTTTTTTAATTTTTCAGACGATTTTGGTACCACGGATGCCCATACTAAAGAACATATGTGGAAGAATTCGTGCTGATGGCTACCTGTAGAACTTTCACGAATTTGAAAAATAGATATTTAAATAGTGAGATAAACGCGTTTGAAAATTTGAACACCCTGATCCGCGCGTTTGACACTGGTCCACCAAACAATAACTTGGGTATTTTAAGAGATTTCGACTTTTGCAAGAGTAATATTTAATGTTTCTATCAACACGCATCTAACCGAAAGTAATATACGGAAAAAACTTTTTTGACTTTACAATATGCGGGACTTGCGTGTTCCAATATGGATCAATCTTGATGTCGACAAAAGCCGATCAATCAAGAAAAACAAGGGGTGTGCAAAGTTTCATGGGATAGCTTTAAAACTGAAAGACTAGTTTGCGTAGAAAAAGACTGACGGACAGACGGACATGCTTATATGAACTCAGGAGGTGATCCTGATCAAGATCAAAAGTATATATACTTTTAAATAAGGGGTAGAAGGTTGATCAGTGGTTCTATGGGGAAGTTTCACCTTTATATCGGCTTAGGAATGTCGAATGTCGGCATAGGAATGTCGACAAATATCAATACCTGATTAATGCCATTAATTTGGCATTAATGTCGGCTGAGTAGGCTGAGGCGAATCACAAACAGCTGATTTTTTACGCTTAGGTGACTCAGTTAGCACCTGAAGGGCGCTAAACTGATTTTCGCGCAAAGAGCTGATCAATAATTTTACGAAAACTTCTGATCAACCCCTTAAATTCATTCTTAGTCTGTCCTATGAACGACCTCATATGGTCTTGGACAGCACGACAATTATTACAACAATTATGTAAACCAAATCTACGAGAATTGCTGCGAAGGTTTTCCTAATTCATAGCCACAGATTCAACCCGGCATTGGTTAGTTTGGCCGAGAAGGTGCCATCTGGGCCTGGAGATTTAAAGGGCTTGAAACTGTTTATCGCCCAACTGAAAATCCTATTTTTTTTTTATTTTTTGCATCAATTGGTGCACCAGCTAGCATTCCAGTATTCATTATAAAGCTTAGAGGCCCAGACGACCGAGGGGCGCTCGAGGAACGATTTATTAGTATTTATTAAGCTAAGATGAGTTAGTAAAGAAATTTAAAATACTTTAATAAGGACAGGAAAGAGATATGATAGAGTTGACCATAAGACCCTACGACCACGACCATCATAGTTTGAAAATAAGACCCTATAATGGTCGTGTTGTGCATGTGTCAAACTACAATGACTTAGGAATAGAGGACTAAAGTTTCTAGTCCTTCTATTAGGAATATGGAAATTTAGGCGTATAAGCAAAAATCGGATAAAGTTGGCCGATCCTTATGAGAATATGATAATATAACCCAATGTATTATAATAAAAATCTAAAAAAAGTCCTAAACTTCTTTCTTCAAATACCAAAGTTGATATTTCTTCCAAAAACCATTTCCGATCGTTCAGATATATGGCAGCTATAAGTTATAGTCGGCCAATCATTATGAACTTTGGCATGTCGTATTATTTTGCCAAAAATAGCGCTCGTGTAAAATCCGAAAATCTCCATCTCTAAAAACACCGAAGTTATACCATTTCCGATCAATCAGTTATATGGCAGCTATAGGATATAGTTGGCCGATACCGGAAATATACTTTATAGGGTCGGAGATGTCTCCTTCACTGCGTTGCACACTTTTGGACAAAATTATAATACCCTATGCAAGGGTATAAAAACTACAACCAGCATTGTCCTAAGATTAGTTAAGGTTGGTAAGTTTATTAGTCGGAGTATACTTCTGTACGATGGAAGATGAACTCTTGTATCCCAGTTAAGACCTCTAAGTGAAAATGAAAAAAAGTTATTTTTTACGGGTTCTATACGGTCTGATGTACTCCATATTGGAGACTCCAAATACATGAACCATGCTCCAGTATCGAACGGACTAAAGATTTGAATAAGCTTTTAGTAATGGAAGGGTCTTATGAAGGGGTAAAATTCTTTTGACCGCCTTTTAATGAAACCAAGGACACCTTTAGCCTACTTACGTTTCAAGATTTCTTTTTTGAGACTGGTGCCGGTCAGAAATGCTGAATTCATCTGTGGATGAATTGATGTCAGCTTTCTGAGTTGCGATATGTTGATTTCGTATTTTATGTGTTCCATGAATAGTTTTATGACCAGTTTGAATGGTGTCGATATATATTACATTAAAATCTATAAAGCGATTAGCTTCATTAGTGACAGTTACTTGTTACAGGAGGATATATCCAGAGTTTACTCACTTCTTCCATCAAACTTATCTAAGTGTATGTTTACCCGTTACAGTGGCGGTCTCTTGAGATCTGTACGGGTTATTCCATCAGTAATTATAATTTGGCAGCTAAAGAAGAGGTGTTAGACCTTGGTGTCTTATTCGACAGCAAATTTAAATTTTCTGGTCACTTAGACTATATTCTTCCTAAAGCGTATGCTATGCTGGGCTTTGTTAACAGGCACGTGAAACAGTTCAAAAGTCCATACTCGAGCCTCAGCGTCTATGCTGCATTTATTTGGTCGAGCCTGGAATATGCCTCAATCATTTGGAATCCGGATTGCAAAATTCGTTCCAACAGAATTGAGCGACTCCAGAAAAAATTTTTAAACTTTGCACTTCTGCCTCTAAAGTTGCAGGATCCTGTTCCTTCATACCAGAGCCGTTGTCTTCTTCTGAATGTTTGCACCTTGGAGGATCGGCGTAAACTGGCTGCGTTAACTTTTTTGAATAATTTAATCGTCGATAACATTGATTGCCTTTTTTTATTGGGACTCATTAACTTTAATGTTCCTCAAAGGGATCTTCGTACCTTTGCCCCCTTTCGGGTCAAGTGTCATAGGGCCAATTATCTCTTTAATGAGCCGATTGAGCGGGCTCTTTCTTATTTTAATTCTTCGCCACCTAGCCTCCGAATTGAGTGGGGCTCTGATAAGGGTGTGTTAAAACGCAAATTAATCAGGCATTTATTAAGTTTTTGTTAGTATTATTTATTAGTTGTAAGTTGTTATGTTATGTAGCCATGTAAGGATTTGTCCGTTGGCGAAATAAATAAATAAATTATATCATAAATTGCTAATGGGTACGGATGTTGTTCGTCCTAAGCAAGTTGATGGAGCACGCGTATTGCGGTATACGTTGCTGATGCAGTCCTAATGCCAAAAATTACAGTATGTATTTAGTCTTTACTTTGTCATTTCGTTTTTATTATTTCTCCGTAAGATGCGTTGAAATAGAGCATCATCATGGTACGTGTCGATACAGCGATACATTCTTTTAATACATTCTGCAAACACGTAACGATGTAGCGATAATTTTGTTACTGTGGGCTGAGGCGCAATTGGTAAATTAGTGATATGCCGTTCATAGTGGGATATTGTAAAATATGTATTTACAGTAAATTACATTATGAATTTTCTCTCTACTTTGTCATTTCGTTTTTATCATTCCTCCATAAGATGCGTTGAAATAGAGCATCATCATGGTACGTGTCGATACAGCGATACATTCTTTGGATACATTCTGCAAACACATAACGATGTATCGATAATTTTGTTACTGTGGGCTGATGCGCAATTGGTAAATTAGTGATTTGCCGTTCATAGTGGGATATTGTACATCATACACTAAACTGCACACTTCGGTTGTCGTGCTGTCTTTGTTTACAACGGTATGGTTTGAAAGAGTAGATGCTGACCAATGTTCTTAACCTCTAGGAGTGATCAATTGATGTCGAACTTTTGCAGTACAGACTTTGAGAGTTTTTTCAGGTTAAATTATTTTTTGATGTAAGAGCAAAATTGATGTTTAAGTTTCCATTTTTTATTAAACAGGCGTTTTATGTGATGAAACCTATCTAGTGCGGTTTTATGAGACTTATTCATGGCTTGTCCTTTGTCAAATTTAGTTTGTTACGGAAGCCGGACCAGTTATTATACCCATGCGGAACTTCTCTCTCTTCCTCTTAAGCGAACGGTCGTGTTTTTTTTGTGCGCACTGAGTTTATGATACATATTGGTAAACCGGTGTTTACTTGCGTGTGAATCGAATTTTTTGAGAAAGTTCAGTTTTAACTTAAACCGCATCGCTTCGCGTGCGAAGCTTCGCTTCGCGTATATTTGGAGGCGAATTAATATTTTGTTTAAATTCAATTCTAAGCATTTAATTCCCCGTCCTTTCTCTATTTCTGCATTTTTCCTTTGCACTCTCCAAAGCTCCCGCTTCGGCTTCTTATTTGGCACAGTGCACTGCAGTGGTTCAAGGTATGGTGTTTTTTAACTTTTTATATATTATTTTTGTATTGTTAATTAATAATATGGAATTTAAAATGGTCTGTTCTATAAAGTCTTGTAACAAGACAGTCTCCTCATTCCAGCCTACCATCCATTGCTGGCTATGTGAAAACGGCGTACACGCCAAGTGTGCCGGGTTCACTGCATCAGTTTTGGGTGCCATTTCCAGTAGGTCTGGTTATTAACATTATTGTTGTGAAAATTGTCGTGCCGCCCAAGACGAAATGAGGTCGTTCATGAGACAGACCAAGAATGGATTTAAAGAGTTGATCACTGGTTTTCGTAAAATCGATGACCAGCTCTGTGCGCTTGACACTCAGTTTAGCGGCCTTCAGCTGCTAACTGAGTCGCCTAAGCGTGAAAAATCCGCTGTTTGTGATCCGCCTCAGCCTGCTTAACCGTCAGTAACGCAGCCGCTCATATCTTTGGCCACCCCAAGGGCTAAAACTGAGAACAATTCGTCGTCCGAATTTCTCAAGAAAAATGAGCAATTGTCTGATATGTCCTCCGTGGTATACCTTCAAGTGAAACCACAGGTCCTAGTAAGTGAAATCCCCGTCAGAGTCACCCAAAAGGGTATTCCAAAGTTCGGACCACCGGCACCGACTGATGCTGCAGTTCTCGTACCTGCGACACCAAAAGGTGATTCCTCCATCGAAACATGTATTTGTTTCTCGGCTTTCCCCTGATACTTCAGAGATTGATACCTCGGCTTATATCAAAGCCAAAACTAAAGCCGATATAAAGGTGGAGTACATAGCTAAATTCAAATATACTTATTTGTTCTTCCAGTTTTGGCCAGAGAATATTTTCGTCCAAGAACATCAGCCTAGTTCCGTAAAGAAAAAAGTTATAAAACCAGTGGGAGTAAGACTTCCCCATATCGAAACCACTGACCAACCTTCCACCTTTTCCTTGTCCACTAACCCAAAAAACTAGTATCGTAAACTATATTCTGATAGTTCTTCCTTTGCATCCCATTTTTAAGCCTTTACAGAAACTTGGTTAAAGCCGGAGATCTTTAGCTCCGAAGTTTTTCCAAGTACACCACTTTTAGAAGGGATCGACCTCAGGGAAGGGGGGGTGGAGTCCACATTTCGGTAGACTCCACTCTTGTTTCTTAGAGGTTACTTATCACTCACCATGACTTCACAGGGGACATGTTAGGTAAAATTAACCATGTTAGAAATTCGTCAGCTCGGCTGGAGGTCTCAATCGAAACCATTCCTGGTATCGATCAGATATCTCCATGCGTGGTAAATAAAATTCGCTGCTTCCGTAAAGCTGATTTTCACAAACTTAACAGCCTTATCGATACATATGATTGGTCCGATATTCTGGCATGCACCGATCTTAATGTCACCTTAGAAAAATTGTACTGTACTTTAAATACATTTTTTGACTCCTGTGTGCCATGGAAATATCCGTACGCGTCAACAAATCCTCCTTGGTTTACAAGGTGCCTCACTAACCTAAAAAATACTAAGAATAGGCTCTTAATGAAATAGAAATTAAACTTGCAGTAGTATTGATTTCTCAAGATGGGTACGAGCTCAGTCAAATTTTACCGTGCATAACGCTGCCGGATACTATTTACTCAGGATCCGAAACAGTTTTTTAATTTTGTAAATACAAAGTGTAAACATGTATCTTTTCCACCTCTGCTTACGTTTGAAAATTCATCTGCGACCTCCGACCAGGCCAATGCTGATCTATTCGCAACATTTCTTCAAACAACTTATTCTCCGCCTAAATCGACAGATCAGCCTTACGCATACAACATTCAATCAGCAAATCTTATTTTCTGTCCGTTTTTCTCCGAGAATATTATCTTATCTTCTAAGGGTCAAACCTATTTATTCGCCAGGCCCCGATGGAGTACCAGGCTGTGTGCTAAAATAATGTACCAGGGCTATGTGCATACCTCTTCTTAGAATTTTCATCTTTGGAAACCTCTATTTTTTCCCTTAAGAGGACCCCCCCCATTCTCGGTTTTAAAAAATCGATTTTTTTTTTTAAATTTAATTCGAACTTGTAACTATTCAAGAATGTTCCCTGAAAATTTCAAGTAAAAATTACAAAAACTCTTGAAGATATAGCCGATTTATGGTGGAAGCCTCAGGCGACGGCGAGAGCCGTCTCAAAACTTTAAACGCGTTTTTCTCGAAACAGTGTTTTTACTACTGGCGCATGAGGTTACTCAAAAACTATTAATCCAATCGGTTCCAAATTTAAACACGTTATTCTATACATATATAGCTCTCGTATGAACTAGGATAAATCAAATCGGTGAAGATCTTCTTTACTTTTCAACTCGATTGGAAATTTCGATTGGAGTGGCTGAAAAAAATGGAAATTTTCAAAAAAAAATTTCAAAAATCCGCCATTTTGTTAATTTTTGAGCGAAGTTAATAATCCTAGTTCATACGAGAGCCAAACATGTACTTTTTCTAATCCCGTTGGAATTTTTGGATTCAGATGTTCCAGTGAGCGGAAATCACATGCGCCGCCGAAAAGAAGGGCTTTTCTTTGATCACAAAAAAACAACAACAAAAAAAAATTCTGTGAAATGATTTTCTTCCTTTTTGTGTCTTAATATATGTAAGCACAGTTACAACCCTAAAAAATAATTTATGTTCATTTGCCAGCTCATTGAAAATCGTCAAAATTTAAAATCGAGAATGGGGGGGGTCCCCTTAAGTGGAAGGAATCTTTCATAATTCCCTTATATAAGGAAGGGAAAAAGTCCGATGCTGCCAATTATAGAGACATCTCTAAATTGCCGGCAATTCCAAAGTTATTTTAACAATTAATTACTCCTCACTGGCAACACCCTGGCTATTGGATCATCGTTGCTCACCACCACGAACTTATTGGAGTTGACATTCTTTGTCATAGATAGCTTTCGTAAGGGATATCAAACCGATGTTATTTAAACAGACTGAATATGCTGGGATTTTCAACAGACCTCTTAACGTGGATCTCCAGCTACTTAGATGGAAGTACACAAAGAGTCTCACTAAAAACGTACATTCCCGTCTGGCCCGTGCTACATCTGGCGTCCCTCAAGGAAGTCATCTTCGCCCGTTGTTATTTACTCTTTTTATACCCTTGCAGAGGGTATTATAATTTTGTCCAAAAGTGTGCAACGCAGTGAAGGAGACATCTCCGACCCTATAAAGTATATATATTCTTGATCAGGATCACCTCCTGAGTTGATATGAGCATGTCCGTCTGTCTGTCTGTTCATACGCGAATTAGTCTCTCAGTTTTAAAGCTATCGACTTGAAACTTTGCACACACCATTCTTTCCTTTGCACGCAGTATATAAGTCAGATCCTATAGCTGCCATATAACTAATTGATCGGAAATGGTATAACGTTTAGGTTTTTAGAGCTAGAGAGCTTAAATTTTACATGATTGCTATTTTTGGCAGAATAAGGCGACATGCCAAATTTCATAAGGATCGGCCGACTATATCCTATAAAATAAAAATTTTATGCAATAAAACTGAACGATCGGAAATGGTTTTTGGTAGAAATACCAACTTTGGTATTTTTGAAGAGAGAAGCTTGGGACTTTTTTTTAGATATTTTATTGTAATTAATTGGTTTTATTATGATATTTTCATAAGGAGCGGCCAACTGTATCCGATTTTTGCTATATATATCCGGTTTTAACTGCATGGGTATATCAACTTCAGCTCCTTTCCTTTCTTGTTCTTGTTGCATAGCTTTCCTTTCTTGTTTAAGGTATTTGAGCGCTTCCTTGATAACCATCAAACGTGGAAAACTCTACACTGATTAGGGATGCTAAATCTGGTTCTGATTCAAAGAAATTGATTCAAAGAAGTTAATCAAAGTTTCAGTTATCAGTGCACAAGGTTGGTGACTTCTTTTGGCTGGGGCTTTGAAGCAACATTCCTTTCTTTTTCAGTACCAAACCCGCAAAGGTGCTAGAACGTGTTTGTGTGTATTGACTTCGTGTGGCCAAGAGAACGTCGTCATAAGAAGTCAGTTCCTCATATGGGGAGTTCTTACTTCGTAAGCTGGGTCGGATTTGTTAAGAAGTACAAGGTGGTGACTGTGATGAATTGAAAGTTTAGATCCCGTGAGTGGCCTTTATGGCAGCTAAGGATTTCTAGTTCATGATAAGGACCGCTTGGTTCGCTTAATGAAATAAGTTTGGCACACTAGTAGACCTCGATAAGCTCACTTCATGCATAGCTCTACGTCATAGTTATCACATTCAATAACCTTGACACTTCCTTTGAACCATTCCATTTTTCGCAGACATAAAGAGGATTCTTTGGCAGAAACATTTGTTTGCTAGTGCCGCCTCCTTTTGCTTATCCTCCCTTTGGGTTCATTTATTGGGATTGCCCTTTTGGAAATCTCCAGGGGTTGTGTCAGACCCGCATAGATGGGCTTATTCGCGCTCTTAACTTTCCGCTTAACTTAACTTAACTTAACTTTTAACTTAACTTTTAACGGTTCCGCCCGAAGTTAGCTTTTCTTTCTTGATATTTATTTTTCCTATTTTTGATTGGTTTATATCTAGGCATCTATAGATATAAGTTAGTTATCGAAAAAAATTACATAGAGTTTACAATAATATTGATACTTAGGTACCGAATCAGTATAAAATTTTGCTCTTTGTAGGTTTGAATCTTTTTTTTCTCATCGTTGGACAGATACAAATAAAAATTTATATATACGTACCACCTTGAATTTTTGACATAGCTGAGTTTTTATCTTGTGTTACTGGAGGTGTTGGCTTATGTGACTGACCTGTAGCCCTATACATTGCCATAACCCAAAGACTGCACTCATTCTCATCGTCACAAGCAAATGAAATACTATCGCCTTCTCGAACTGCGTTGAAGAAAAAACGACCGCCGTTCAAGTCTATTCCGAACATAAGATTTGCTACGAACAGAGTAAATATTTACTTTTATTTTACGATTCTTTTTTAAATTTTTGGTAAAATATGCTCACCACTTGCTGCTTCAATATAATCTACTGTATAGCCATCAAGTTGCATCATTTCCGACGGTTCCGATTTTTTTTCTTTGTAACTACACATGGCAAACGTATATTGGGATACTTGAACTAAGACAAAATACCGTTTTTTCCATTTTTTCCAAACAGATTTTCCGATCGCATACAGTTGCCTTAATTTACAAAAAACCAATTAACTAAAACGGCCATAAAAAATTCTATTGTCATACTGTTACCCGCAATGTTTCATATTTAGTGGCTTATCCAGCCTGCATGCTATTTTTATGCGTATATCTTGGTCAGGTAAATTCTTGGGAATAATCATGCGATGCCATTCAGGTGACTGGAAAACAAATTGTTATTTTTTAGTGAAAAAAAAAAAAACAAAACAACTAACTTTTGATGATAGTGGTGTAGGTTTAAGGGTCACTTTTCCTAATTCTTTATCCTCCAAAGCTAACATTCCTGGATTTTCGGTATAGAGTTTGACTTTGACGATAGGTAGAGGATGCGTAGTTGTAAAATCCCCTTGGGTATCCCACCTAGTTCAAACAGAAATACAAAATGCAATGCTTTATATTTTATGTTAAACTTACATCGGTTTGGAGGCCTCTGCTTGATCAGTTTGTAGCTTTTCACCGTTTTCAACCTCCATTGTACAATAGACGATTCGGTTGGGAGCTAACGACTTAAGACCTTTCACTTCCATTACAATTACTTCTAATTGAAATGTCAGCACAACGTCAAGTTTTGTTAACTGATTGGAACCATCCTCTGAGTCACCCTCAAGCTTGGACAAGGAACCATGAGATCGCAATATTAATTTCCTTGCAATAAAACATAAAAAATGAAATAAATAGTTAAGAATGGATCATTTTGCAACCTTTTTTAATATTGTTAACAAGTTTATACGCGAGTACAAATATACACGTATTATAAATGAGTACAATCCTCATACTTATCCTTTATTTATAAAAAATATTTTCTTTTATCGACTCATTTTTGTTACACTATAGTATTTAAAAAAACCAAATCATACCAAATGAAAATAAATTGGAATATGAAATATTTGGACTGTAGTATCGCCGTTTTCTGAAAAAGTAATGAAACTTAATAACACTTTCGCACACTTTTGATTTTTGCCTAATGTCAAAGATGTCATAAAATAAATTATTTATTTTGTTGAAGCAAAAGGGTGGTTGAGGTGGTACGCTGAAAAGCATCATTTTGAAAGCTCGTCTACACAATTACAAAAAAAATTTCTTCACCAATCGAGTTAAAAGTAACACTTTACTTATTTTGTCGATATAGCCATGTCAATATAGCCATGTCCGTATGAATGCGTATATCTTAAGACTATAATAGATACGGCGGGCTATAGGATTTTTTATGAAGACTTCTTCCATAGAAGTGCAGGTCAAGTTTGTTTCAAATATTTGCCACTTTTCCTTCCGCCAGCACAAATCACAAATTTCTCTTGCTAATCTATACCAACAAACCAAAATTCAACTAAATCTGACAATTTTTAATAAAGTTATACCCACAAGGGTGTGCAAAAAAATTTTTCATTTTTTTTAGATCATTTACTTTTAAAGATAAGATAAATTGTTGGTTAAAGATATGAGTACCGCTCATAATTACGTCGGGATTGATTGGAACCATCACTTTCAGAGGGTATTATATTTTGGTCAAAAGTGTGCAACGCAGTAAAGGAAACATATCCGACCGTATAAAGTATTCTTAATGAGGATATATACGTGCACGGAATTCCGTACGTTCCTAGTTATATACTGCGTGCAAAAGAAAAGGAAAAAGGTTGTGTATATGTTTTAAGTCGATAACTCAAAAACTGAGACACAAGTTCGAAAGGGCACAATACGCGATCAACGCCAGAGGCGGCCATTTGAAAGATATCATATTCAAAAATTGATGTAAACAAATCTACTTGGAACAAATTAAATGATTAAGATTGCCAACCGCCAAATTTTTATTTTTTTCTTTGATTTAAAAAAAAAAAACATGGGTCCGTCGAATATGGGCAACCCTGTATATATACATTCATTGTATATATATATTTATATTTATATATACATACATACATAGGCTGATTTGTGATCTTTAAAACGAGCTCCATTTGTTCAGTTTGACGCCATCACGTCAAGTTTCTTCATAACCTCAACTTCACTTTTTTTGAGGTTATGAAGAAACTTGACGTGATGGCGTCAAACTGACCTCAGATTCGGATTCAGCGACCCCAAAAACCCCCGGGTACCATGTTTTATTTGAATATGCTGAATTTTGAAATTTTTGTGTTCGGCATACATTTTTTGCTAAGATGCCTACATATAAACGCACCCCCTGTCCTAACGGTGCATGCGAAAAATTTGGCATGGAGCTCGTTTTAAAGATCACAAATCAGCCTTTCATTTCCATTTTGAATTAGGTTTGTTACACATCAGAATTTTGCGGTACGATTTTTCGAAAATGGCCAAAAACGGCGTTTTTCGACTATTCAACCGTTATTTTCTCGAAAACCTGACGTGATGGCGACCAACTGACCACGGATTCGGATTCAGCGACCCCAAATCCATATAGGAGGTATGGTCTGATCTCTGAATTTTTTTTTTTTTTTTTTGTGGAGCTGTGTAATCAATGAAGAAACTCAATTCCATAAAGAAGTCCCCAAAATGCCAAAACTTTTAAGTCCTACATCGATGTTTACACCGTGCTCAATACGTAGATAGCTTCACCTTTACTGAAGCCGCCCAGAGAGCTACGCCACCTCAGCGCCAATTTTGTCTCCCACCTCATAGGAGGGCGCCCTTACTAACCCCTGAGGAAAGGGCGCTGCTGGATCTAAAAGGCACCTCAGAAGGCAATTCATTGTGTCAGGCGATCCTATAACTAAGCAGCGTCTATCTAGCACTACTAATAGACTGCGCAGGTTGCTAGAGAAAACCCGCCAAAAGAAAATTGATACCTTGCTGGAGGGAGCTGGCCCGGACAATTGCAGCGATTTTTCGATATGAAAGCTAACGAGAGGAATTAAAAGACAGCCGCTTGTCCGATCCCCAATCCCCGCTATGAAGTTGTAAACTTCTTACGCGCTCCCTTTCAACCATATAAAAGTTTTAAGCTTATATGTGCAGATACGTACTCAGAAAGAAATTAAATTAAAAAAAAATTAAAACTATAAAAATATATACTAAATTTAAAACTTCAAAATCATGTTACAAATTGTTACGACTCAACTCTAAATATTTCTTAAAAAACTAAGGTAAATAATTATTATTCATTAACTTTGCTAATCCAATTTTTTTGAATATTAAAAAATAAAAGATATTTAGAAAAAGGTACGACACGGTGAAAATGGCCAGGAACAGGCGTTTACTCTGGGGGTGGGTTTTGTGTCCAATCAATTTATTATTTTGGGTCACGAAGGTCGCGAAGCTAGTAAAGATCGACGTACGTATACAAAAATTTTAATTTAGTTCATCCTTTTAAATGCTGATCCCTCTTTAATCCTTGTTTTATTTAATTCGGGATTGAAAGCAAGACTTGGGTTCCTGGGTGCCTTAAAAGTATAGCTGTTATGGGCCCGTTGGCCGTTGGGGTGGCCAAATAAATATCCAGCAGTGGGGATCGCTCGCCGGTGACGACTTCTTTCAACAGAATATAATCCCAAATGTGGTTTGAATTTAAAAATATACGAGTTTCATATTGATTTTAAATTGGAGGAGACTTGACTGTCATTTACGACTGCGCAAGCCGTAAAAAGCCCGAACCGGGTAGCATCAAAGCTTTTAACTGCAGCTACAGCGAAAATGACCCCGATCCAAACTACACTCCTTATTTTAGAACCACCCGCTAATCTTCCCTGATTTTAAATAGTCTAGTCTAAATTTTTTCAGGGCCCCCCTGTCACCCCATACCCCCTACTGAACCCTATTGAACTGGTGCTGTCCACAATAGACTCACCAAAACATTTTTTCAACAAAAAAATAAAAAAAAGAAACCGTGGTGTAACATTCAGCAAGAGGGGCCCTGAAAGCCTTTCGTCGGGGGGGCCCAGTGGACAAGCGCGCCTTTGCCCACCTGTTAAATCCGCCACTGTAAATAGAGTAGTTTAATTAGCTTAACCGGTAACACCTAGTTTTCCTAGCGCCACCTATTGTACATTTCTTGCACGCCAAAGTACAAAAGGTTGATCTCAGATCTGTCCACTCTAACGAACGGCTTTCTAGAAATTTCATAAGTAACGGCCATTTGAACCCGATAACGCAGTCATCTTTTCTTATCTCAAAATGTCTCAAAATGTAAAAGGTCATCTAGGTATATGAAAAAAAATAATTTCTGAGATTAGCTGGAATGACCTTGTTCATCAATCTTGAAATGGTGCTGGTCGTCTTTGCGTCTTGGTGCGTCTTTTAAATCTAAACTCGTTATGTATTCAGCTTTAGACAAGCGACTTAGTACTGATCTGCGGCAATGAGTATGCTTTTTTTTAGATGAAACTATTTACCTTCCGATAATAAAGAAAAATTCGGACCATGCCGGGCTTAGTCACCATTACTTTCGGAGAGGACCAAGAACTTTCTGATCCCTCAATTACTCCAAGTTGCAACATACGGTCTATCTCAGCATTCATGGACTTCTCCACAGCTGGTGAGACCGGAAAGTGACACTGTTTGATGGCTTTGGCTTCACCTACGTCGATTTCAAGGTGTATTAAATTGGTCTTTCCCAAGCCCTCTCGAGCTAATGATGGAAAACAATTTACCACAATATATAACCTGGCTCTTTGGGTGTCGGTTAACTCATGTTTCTTAACACCAACACCACCGACATGACAATTTGGGACTTTCTCCTCTTTTACTATATTTAGGTGTTTTGGAAATAACTTGTAAGATTTCCTGAAGTCAACTTCTAAATATAAATCTTGCTTCAAAGATGGTACGATGTAAATCCAAATCCACGGTAAATCCATGATGGAACACTTTCACTGGCAGAAAAGGACGAGGGTCGCGTGAAGTCATTGATACTTCACAGACATACTTAATGCCTCTTCGATATTTTCGGACCTCTTGCCAAAATGATCTAATTCTAGCAGCGGTTCGAGTCTTAAAAGGTTGTAAAGGTTTGGTATTGTTGCTTACTGAACTTTTTATTCCTGAAATTTGAACTATCTTTTTGAGTAACAAGGATAAATCCGGGGTAATTTAAATACTTTAAACAGCTTGGTGTATAAGTGACGGCAGCGGCGCAACCATAACAAAAACCTTGCCGTTCCAACAACCAACCAATAACAACACATTCCTGGTAATGGTGTTTCTCTTCTTGACAGTTCCAGAAAACAAGCGTAAAGGTTTCAGCCAACTTCTCCTTATCGGATTCATTAAACCTAATGAGCCCCCCCCTCTCAACATTTGGCACCAATTAGGAAACCTCTCTTTTAAAAGGACAAATTTTTCCGTACACATGAGTTCGTCTCAAGTCTTCTAAAAAGAATGGTCGACGCCTGCATATTTCTCTTAATTTAAGAGCTGTTAACTTCTTCGTTTAAAATTTCGGTGGATTTCCGGTCTCAAATTATCTATTATCTAAATTATCTATTGGAAACTATTAAAACATGCATTGGGTTTTTGCTTCCGGTGTCGTTTAATTCCTCGATGTTGCCGTCATCTCTTCCCTGTCTGAACTGCATTCGTAGGGCTTCGCATAATCTATCCCAATGCACGAGCCCAAAAGACTTGTGAAACCTCCAACACATTTGCATTTCGGCATAGTATTCCAAAGTTCCCTTCTAACATTTGTCGGGTCTAACTCA